CTTTGGCGATTCGCGTTCATCCCATCGGGACCACGCGCGCGTAACAGCCCCATACGCTGAAAAACAACCATCGCGCACGAACCCATTGGTTCAAAATCGCCAGGCACCAATCATACCTAAATTGAAGTGTATGTTTTGCAAGAATTCGCACTATTCCGCACAATGCCCGGTAGTCCCCCTACTGTCTCAGCGCATAATAATCCACGCCCGTAAGGGCAAATGCTTCCGCTGTGGGGCTCCCCACGCAGACGCAATGTGCCCGGAGATAGATAGGGTCACATGTAAATGTTGCCGCAGTGCCACCCACCACACTGCCTTCTGCTTCCGCAATCAACATGCCATATGCGATATGCACCTCCAAAATTACGTGGCGCGCATGAAAAAAGCTTAGCGCATTGCAAGTGCAGTAAGAGAAGAGGTGCGGGAGAGCGAATATCTCCTCTTTCAACGAAGAATGCAGGAAGAAGAAGAAAATTAGGTGAGTCCATAATTGAAAATGAAGTAAAGTTAACCGCTTAGGCGGTGATAAATTTGTTTTTTTTTCACATTCATTGTTCGATAACCGCGTAGGCGGTGCAAAAAAAAGAAAACTATTTCTCGTCATTCGTATGTTCAAGCAAATTACTCCGCGTAGTCACCCATTAATAAACCGCTTAGGCGGTGAATATAAAGTTCATTTTGCGCACCTGTTTATTAAACCCGCTTAGGCGGTAACAAAAAAAAACAATATCTCGCGCATCGCGCATTTATATATTCTATCCGCTTAGGCGGTAATTTAAAGGCAAAACGTTATATTTTCACGTAATCGATAAAAGACCGCTTAGGCGGTAAATGTAAAGCTTCAAGTAGGGAAACAAACTTGTTCAGCTTAGATCACTGGTTTTTTTTTGCCTTTCTCTTTCTTCGCGTAGATTCGATTCGAGCCGGTGGCTCGCATTCCTTGATATTCTATCCTCTATTTGCAGTCCTTCCGCGTAGCCTTACGGCAGTTTTAGCCCTTCTTCACCGTATGTGTGAGGATGGATGGTCGTCAAGGCTGTTCGAGACTATGTCGACTCGTCGAATTTACGGCTCGACAGGATTCCCTGGGAGCGGTGGGAGACCGCTTTCACTTTTGCACGACCCCGGGTTTCCTCCGTTTGTGCCATGACTGTCCCACGGGTACTTTTGCATAGTGAGGATCAGAATTTCTCCCCCTCACACCAAATCGTCCCGTACGTGTGAGAAAAAGCTCACACCGTAGACAAGTAAAACACCCCATATAGTCGTTTTGGTCATCGTCGTCACGTCACATCACTGCCACCACGTCAAGTCACCGTCGTCACGTCGTTGCCAATCCGCAGTCCGTCGTCGTCTCCTTACGTCACGTCGAGTCGCGTCATTCCGTCGTCGTCCTGTCGCCCGTAACCGTAGATGAGAAGATCGAACTCACTGTCATCGACTATATATCGTGTTTTATGTGCATTTCAAAGTACAATGTAATTATTGTGTTTGAGCTGTAGGAAGCCATCAGACCCCCCAGCCAGTCTTCAAAACCCCACGGACCAATTCCTTTAGTCTGCCCCGTAGGTCAACCTTCGGTTAACTTAGTATGTATGTATATTAAGTGCGTAGTACGCAATAGGTAAGCACGAGACTCTCAGTACCTGGCGTAGCCGCGACTGTCTGTCTCTCGCTGCCCCAGTGTCGTGACTTTCGTCCGACTCTAATCAAAAGGGGGTTTCTAGTCGCGCTCTACGCTGGGTCCCGGCGTGATCTCTATCGACGTTTCCGGAAACCCGCCAAGGATCGCCGTAGCTCCGCCTACAGCCTATTCCTACGAGCAGTTCGCCTATTCTGCTGTACTCCGGATCGACCGCGCATTCTCTACTGCGGTCCAACGTTCTTTCACCGTAGCCGCTTAGCGGCAGCCTTCCTGGTTCGTCCGTGTATGCCGCCTGTGGTCTCATTACCGTACGTGGGCACGATGTTCTGCTGCTACTCTCACCGTACGTGAGCAATGGACGCCTACAACCGCAGTACGCCTCTCAGGACCACAGGTAACCGCGTAGTGTCGCGGGAAAACTCTACTGGTTGGGCAGCCGACCAGGATGGGTCTCTCGTAGTCACTCGCGGGCTGAAGTCTCGTACACCCGTAGGAAGGGTTGGTCCGTCCCGTGAGCTTAGGATGGTTTTTTCCTTATTGCCGTACGATTATTTACTTTATTGTAATGTTTCGTATATTCATCGTAGGATGAATGTTATGAGTATTGATGTCTTTTCGTTATCCATGCCGTAAGAGTCGGCGATTATTTATTGATTGTCAAATGTACAGCATAGGATATTGAACGTAGGCCTAGGCGTTGGTTTAGGGATTTCAATTCAAAGTATACAGCGTAGGGACCATAAGGGCCTTTTGTTTAATAACTCTCCCCGTGGCAGGTTGAGCGAGGCGAGCGTGGTTTAGGTCCCGTCGTACCCCCGCACCGTGGTCAGGCCTTCCCTGTCAGTACACCGATGCAGATGGGAAGCAGGCCTGCCCACGGCGCGACACGGGGAGCGGCTAGGACGGTGGATGTATGGACGAGTCTACTGCAACGCGTTTGGTGGCACCATGCCAACCCATGTTCTATTCGAGTTGATCCAGTCGCGCCGATGCTGGCAACACAACTCGTTCAAATATCCAATTGAACAAGAGAGGATCGCCTTCGGAGCGGGGTGCTTCCGAAGTACTCTCAGCAACCAGCACACCTTTCGTCGGGAAAGAAAACACCTCGCACCCTAGGTAGCCAAGTAACTGCTTAGTGTAACGTATATAATTCCCGATGCGCTCTCTTATCGTACTCGCTTCCTTTGAGTTCTTCGTGTCGCGCTTTCGCTTTTTCACCATAGCATTTCATGAATTCATTGAAAAGTTTTATTTCGTTCAGTGTACCTGATCGACGTAATCTTCATGACGCGAGCATGTGGAAGGAAGACCTTTGATGACGAGTTTTTGCACCTGCAAATGTTAAGCTGCAAACCGACGGGGTAGGAAAGTGAGGTATTAATCAACAAGTATATTTCAGCAGGTACCTCTATGTCAGGATTCTTCAGTTGCGACATTAGCGTATTGAGAGCTGCCGCTCTCTTTTCCGGGAAATCATCAAAGAATCTAAATGTGCATTCACTCATCTGATTTGCCTCCAGAAATGTAATGATGTAAAATTCTGAAGTATAATAGTAGGTACATAGGGCAATACTGGTCAGGTGGGCACGCAGATTCTTTGAATACGGTCGAAGCGGAAGTGTGTACGTGAAGCTGGGGGCCACTGCTATGATGTCACAATATTCTGTAGACTAAGCCTTGGAGGCAGGAACATTTTTGCAGCGAGGCCTTTGTGAAGCAAGGCCTTGTGAGCCAGGGTAGTGTCCGATTCAGGAAGTGGGGAAAAGCTGAAATCTGCAGTTACTACCAAACTGCCTCATTCATAGCAGTGAAGACAAGTCCCACCACCATAACGAAAAAAAAAGGCGCGCCCATCTGATCAATACTGCATCTTATACTAATTTATCTGACCCTCTTGTTAGGAGGCGAAACACTCTGTGAACATGACCTCAAGGGAACTACAGGTTAGTTTGAAAAAAAAAAGATCACACCTGAAGACGATCTGCATAGCCATCTTCTTCACAGATATGTCCTCGTTTTTGATTGAATCAATACAAAATTGGAAATCAGCCGAATCCTGAAATACCATCCAAATCCATATCAGCAACATGAAGAGAAAACATGCAAAGCGGGTCTTACACGATTTTCCTCCAATCGTTGACATATGTCGTACAATGAAGAAACGTCTAGAGTCATTTGCAGAAGAGTTTCCTCAAGGATGTCAAGTGAAACGACTGTACATTGTATTTCCAAGCAACAGTTGTCCTGCCATTGAATAATCCACGGCTATCTTGTTGTCTGTGTGATTGCGTACAAAAGACAATGCACGCTCGACTTCTGAGACGTTGTAGTTGCGCTATGTATACAACAACTACTGTCCCGCTAATGCGGGCCGGGGAAGACGATTTCTGAGAGGAGAAACTGCGCTTGATTGAAACACCCTAGAGTTCTCCCTCCTCCAGAGTCACACTCCTCCTCAGTTTCCTCTTCACATCAAAAATCGAAGAGATATGAATCAGTGCATCCTTGCGCACACTAGCTCCACCGTACTCACGAATTGCGAACCCACCCTTTCAATTAGGTTTGCACCGAAAGCACGTTCGGAGGAGTATATCAGGTGCAATGTGCTTCCGACGGGCCCATTCTGCAAGAATGCCACTATAACTGAGCCTAATGGAAAACGAATACTGGAGAGAATGAAAACATACGCACCTCGGATTTACTTTTCAACTCTAAGCTTATTCCTAAAATTTTCGTGAAATTGAGGAAATGTCATGCATGCGGTGGTCCTGACAGAGCCACATTGCGCCGAATACCATAATAACGCTTCAGCCCTTTTTCTTTCAACTAGTGTACATAAAATTTAGATTTGCATCACACTTATTTAGTTTGCACCTTTTGCATGCACCTCGCTGGCAAGAACCGAGTTAATTTGAGTTACGGTGATTGTCTGTCGTACGCAATCACACAGACAACAAGATAGCCGTGGATTATTCAATGGCAGGACAACTGTTGCTTGGAAATACAATGTACAGTCGTTTCACTTGACATCCTTGAGGAAACTCTTCTGCAAATGACTCTAGACGTTTCTTCATTGTACGACATATGTCAACGATTGGAGGAAAATCGTGTAAGACCTGCTTTGCATGTTTTCTCTTCATGTTGCTGATATGGATTTGGATGGTATTTCAGGATTCGGCTGATTTCCAATTTTGTATTGATTCAATCAAAAATGAGGACATATCTGTGAAGAAGATGGCTATGCAGATTGTCTTCAGGTGACCTTAATTTTTTTTCAAGTTATCCCGTAGTTCCCTAATCGTATCCACAGAGTGCTTCGCCTCCTAGCAAGAAGGTCAGGTAAAATGTTTAGTATTAGATGCAATGTTGGTCGGGTGGGCGCGCCAATTTTTTGTTACGGTGGTGGGGACTTGTGTTCACTGCTATGAACGAGGCGATTTGGGAGTATTCGCAGGTTTCAGCTTTTCCCCACTCCTTGAATTGGGCGCACCCTCTGGCTTACGAGGCCTTGCTTCACAGTAAAGGACGCAAACATGCTCCTGCCAAGGCCTAGTCTACCGAATATTGTGACATCATAGTAGTGGGCCCCAGCTTAACGTACACACTTTCGCTTCTACCGTTCAAAAAATCGGCGTGCCCACCTGACTAGTGTTGCACGGAGTAATCGTTTTGTACTCCTACTGACTAGTAAAGGGCGCCATTCGTTACGGGTCCCACTGCCTCCTGCTACAGTGAACCCTTCAATGTGGAGCGGGGAATCCGTGAGCCAGGGGCAGTGTCGCCAGTCTAGGGGGGTGGGGGGTGAGGGCAGTCACTTGACATGCGTGAGAAGCTGGAATGTTCGAATTCAACCGCGATCGCATGGGATCCCCGCGGGTTAAGGCAGTGGGTCCCGCAACGAATGGCGCCCTATACTAGTCAGTAGGAGTACAAAATGATGGCTCCGACTAGGTATCTACTTCAGAATTTTGCATCATTACATTTCTGTAAGCAAATCAGATGAGTGAATGCTTATTTAGATTCTTTGATGATTTCCCGGAAAAGAGAGCGGCAGCTCTCAATACGCTAATGTCGCAACTGAAGAATCCTGACATAGAGGTACCTGCTGAAATATACTTGTTGACTAATACCTCACTTTCCTACCCCGTCGGTTTGCAGCTTAACTTTTGCAGGTGCAAAAACTCGTCATCAAAGGTCTTCCTTCCACATGCTCGCGTCATGAAGATTACGTCGATCAGGTACACTAATCAAAATAGGACTTTTCAATGAATTCCGAATTGCTATGGTGATAAAGTGAACGTGCGGCACGAATAACTTAAAGGAGGCGACTAAGTCAGGAGAGCGCATCGGGAACAAGCAGTCACTTGGCTGCCAAGGAAGCGGGTGTGGTGCTTGGTACTAATTGTTGAGCAGTACTTCGGAAGCACTCCGCCTAAAAGCGATCCGCCCACTTTTTAGTTGGTGATTTGGACGAGCTGTGTTGCCAGCAGCGGCACAAGGAGCAACTCGACTGGAGCATGGATTGGCATGGTGCCACCAAACGCGTTGCGGTAAACTCGTCCATACGTCCGCCGTCTTAGCCGCTGCCTATGCGTGAGCGAAAATCAACGGCCTCACTTATCCCGGATACCATTTTGCGTTTTCATGGCCGATTTCTCTTCTTTTTTCACCATCGCTTTCCACCAAAACTATTGTATTCGCTGCCTTTAACATTTTGAAATTAACACATGCTCTCCATTTTGTTAGGTTGTGCGAGAAAGCGAGCTGTTTTGTTGTCTTGTGTCGATGACGTTTGACTTGATTAGTGTGTGACTCATTTGATCATTTGTCTCTTCACTATGCCTGTTATCTACGTAATTGCTTTCAGGTGGGTGATGTTCTGGCCCAGTTGTTGAGTATTCGTGATAGTCAGGAGCTGCTGCTAGTGAGAAAATCACTCAACGCCATTCTAGAGAAATATCCGAAAGGTATTTAGCTTTCATTCTGTTACCTTGTACCGCGAGCATTTGTTAACAGATCGATTGCTTTCTTTGAAACTGGCTTAGATGATTGATAGGATTGTAGCCGTGTCTTTGGGGTAAGGTTCGCAATAATGCGGCCATAAAAGTAGAAATCTCGTCTTTCCAGCAACAATCCTGGCAATGCACAAGGCTGTCACCAAGGCGGAAAGTATTGAAGAGAAAGTCGTTATGCTACAGTTCATGGACGAAAAAGTTATTCGTATTAATGGTGAATTGACTCCCTTCATGAAGCGGCAAATAACTGAGATTTACTGCAGGGTTAGTCCACTTATAGTTTCTTGGTACTGTTTCTTGCTTGATCGTAAATCCTTTTGATGTACGGCGCGCAGAATCGGCGTGCCTGTCAGTAAGCGAAAATTTGTTACTTCCTAGGATAAACCAGGTATTTTACATAGCAGTCACTTCTAGATGTTGATTTCTTCAACTCCCGATGAAATCGAAGTAGTACTTCGCTTCATTGGAAAATCACGTCAGATAACGGAACAGGAGAAACAAGTCGCTTTCAAAGCGGCGTTGACTTGTCTCGTGGATGAGGGAGTCAAACAGGATCAGGTTGCCATCTTTTCTTGAATTCTTTCAGTTTTGGAGTCCTATTGTTTAGTATTTCTCTTTTTTTCACCGCTCATTACTTTAAGTGCATATAAAGTTTTCAGAGGAATGACATTGAAGAATGTAGTGAATTCAACAAGCTGATAAGCAATCTCGTGAAGGTTGTGTTAATTTTACGTGTAAGTGTGCTCTTTGCAATCGTGTTTCTCGGACTACGAAATGCAGTTGTTCTCTTCCAGTTGGTTGATCGATCTTATATCATGAATCGAAAGATGACAAATTATTTGTTTTCTAAATTTGATAAACTTCATAGATTTCATTCGTCCGATAGAAAGGACATTATGAAGGTATGTCAATATTGTTGTTTCCGGCTGCTCAGTATTTATGCTATCTCTAATAAATTATTAGTTTAGGTGTTATCAGGTATTACGTATGCAGGCAATTACGAAGGTCCTCAAGATTGCTCGAACGTGATAGCTCTGTTTAATTTTTTGAAGGTATGGAAATTTAGTTGGTAAACCCGTGTTTCGAGAACCAAACAGCACCCACTCAAATTCTTTGACATATTCTAAACTTCTCAATCGTACATATTTCAGAGCAGGCTGCCGGATCCCTGCTCCTCTGACACTAACCTGGAAGATGTTTGTATAGAGCAGGTCAGCTCGTCCCAATTTGTGATATGATTTTGTACCGATGCTATTTGGGTTGTTTCAGAGAAACGACGAGGAGTGGAACGTTGATTTCCCTGAAATAGAACTTGTTTCAATTGTTACCTACAATATCCTTCAAAGAAGTCCAGTTATTGCACAAGAACTGTTAGCTCTCGGCGATATATGGAAGCCTCGGTAGTCATACGAAAAGATAGCTTGCTTTTCCTGTTTAAAAGATTTTTTTCAGCTTCCAGTATTTGGTAAGTGTGATCCGTGTGTACACTCGGTGTTTGAAGAAAAGGTTGGATGAAGCAGCTGGAATAAAGGAAAAGGATCGTGCGAAGAATTTAAAACTGCTGAAAGTGGCGAACAACATTGGGTGAGTGATATATAGCATGTTTTAACGAGAAAATGGGGTTAAAATGTTTACTGCTTGAAAAGAACTCTTGTATACCGATGAAGTTGACAACGAGGTTTTTAAAGTATAGGCAAATGAAATTTCAATCAGAATGGTCAACTCAAATTTGACGCGATTGAAACTGACGAAGGAGTGAGAGGGAGTCATTATTTATGCGCAGGGAATTGTGATCGTCCAATTTTTTGACGAAAAGCCACTTCTTTTCAAACAGAGGTGGGAGAACCGACTCCAGAAGTTCTGCTTGACCTGTGTATGTTTTGATGGCATCTTTGATTCAGAACTAATTTCTTGGAAGTCAGGAGTCAGCTGCTACACTTAAAACGTATCAGGAGAGCAGCGGGATCACAACAAACTCCATGACTTCATCTATGAATAGCTTCAAGGAAGTTCCAGTTAGCTAGCGTTCTAGTGTGGCAGCGAACTTTTCCGCGGTGAGACCGTCGGCCTCTGAAGACGATTCAATCAAAACGTTAGGCCATTGATGTGAAAGACCAGGCAACCTCGTGAGGAATAAGAAATTCAACAGACTTACAACTGGTGATTATGTTGATGACCACAACTCTCAAAACACTATACAAAATATTTTCTGCAGAAAAAAGAGACTTATCAGAGACACTGGATGGAAAGTGAATAGTTCGAAGAATTAGCAAAAACAATAATGGGCAGTCGCAAAACTGGAAAATTACTTGGGAAATGAAATAATACAGTACAATAATACAATGCATTTATAGCACGAATTGTTCATCTGAAATGAACGCGCAATAAACAGAGCCACCTCATTCCTACAGGTTCAGAGCATGTAGGATCAGAAATTACGGTTAAAGCAGAAAAATAGGGTGCGGACTGGTGACCAACCGACAGCGATAACTACGCCATAGATTTGCCTTCTCTAAAGTACCATAGATTATATGTACATTAGTACAACAACTTCAGATTGATAGCGAATTGTTTCCTTGTCAACATCTGCGACTTGCACGCGAAGATTTTGCCATCTTGGGTCGTTCAAAAACGGCGAGGTAGGTTATAAGTTCCGAGATTATTTCTTTTCCTGGTTCCAGTGGTTTGAAATTTACTTTTCTCTGTAATTGTTATATACTCAATCAGGGCAGTAAACAAATAATATGAGAACTTTTAGCTCCATCTAAGCTAGTCAGCCTCGATCGTAAACGAAGAAAGCGAGATTTTCGACACGATTGAGTAGATTATCTGGTCAGTCCTACTTCACGTTTTGCAATTGTCATTGCACATGCGGATGTGATAATCTCTATTTCAGGGCTGGCAAAGCGTGCTTATTCCGCATGTCGGCTTGCAGACTTCACATTTTTTGATACTTGACGACGAATGATATCAAGGGCAGATCATGTTTTGGTTCATTCAAGGCCTTACATTTCCCAGCCCTTGCTCAATTATGAGTGAAATCGTTGCCATCTAATTCGTAGCATTGGATAGAAAAAACGGTGGAACGGATCTCCAAAACAGGAAAGTAGGGCGGGGTAACCATGCTGCCACATTAATCATTTCTTGCCTTTATTATTTCAATTGGACCCACCATTCTGTTGTCAAGCTATCGAATATTACGATATTTGAATAGTCTCCATTATTGCCGAATGTAGTCGCAATTTAGGGCTGCGCAATGCCCAGCCTGGACAGCTTGGAGACCTGATTGTGGATGGACTCCTTAAACTTCTTATGCGCATTGTCTGTAGTATTCAAAGATCTCAATGCAGTTACAGTGGCAATTGCATAATAACTTCATTCAGCATAATGGACCTATGCGGATCTCGCATACGCTGTCTTTCGTACATATAGCCCACTCTGAATGATCCATATACTTGCCGTGCTGTGTGAGAAATCGCGATGCCAAGTTATGAGTTCCTAGTGTCAGATATTATGAGAAGACCTCCATTGTTGGAGGTACTTGTAGTTTTGTATTTTTTCTATAATTTTTTCGAAGATTTCCCATGTTCTTCAAAATTATAGGTTTGTCTTTCACACCAAGAAAAAATGTTCGTCTCTCGTAACAACCAAATCATCATATCATGAAACTAAGAAATGGAAAAATAAATGGAACAGTTCAGCCTCTAGAAAAGAGAGATAGGGGGGGGGGGAAGAGAGTGGACTCTCAGACCACGGCTGTGTCTCGCAAGGGGGTGGGCAACGGTGTTCATCCTCACTTGAGTGATAGTTGAATGGTTGCCTTCATTCCATGATTTCATGATGCATTCCTTCAATCAATAGTGCTGGGTAGTGTAACTGATCATCATCCATTATGAATTGAAATCCTGGCGTCCTCACTGTCCTTCGCCAACCCCTCACTGCACGTGCTGTCGTTGTGACGTCAGCAGCACGCACCGCGTACCGCTTTGATGGCTTTGTGGAACTTTGGCCAAACTGTTGAGGCGATTAGCTCAACATGAAGATGCCAACGCAATTCAGCGGTCTATTTGAATTGTTCCAACAAGGGGCCGAATATGCGATCATAGGGGGGATCGTGTTTACAACGACCAAAACTCTCTCCTCAAAAAGTGAAAGCAAACAAAAACAAGTGAATGGGTTGTGTTTGTGGCATCGGGTATTTCTTTGGATGGGTTTTCTCACACGAAGTAGGTGAAATTAGTATTAGTATTGCCATGTTATGTGCCGTGTTGTTAGTATTCTTTAGTCATGTTTACTCCTCTCGCTCGCTCGACACAGGGAAGAGGATCGGGATGGGGTGTTTATGGGTAATCCTCTAGTGTGGTGGTGTCAGGAGGTCGTATCAGACCCCTCAAGACGGGGTCGTCAAACTTTCGATATCAGTCGAGTGCGAAGGTTGATCCTGGATTGGCAAAAGGAGGGATAGAGACGAGGTCCGCGATGAAATTTCGAGACGCAGGACCATCCAGGAGGGTTGAAAAAAAACGAGAACAGGTTGAACGGTCATGATAGGCGGGCGTGCGCCGAGATAGATATAACTTAAAGGAAGATTCCACGATAAGGTCGGAGCTCGTGGGAAGGGAATTTACCCAGTGGGAAGGCGAGCACACCCCTGATGGTGCTTCGATGCCCGTTTCGAAGCGAAGGGTATTCTACCAGCAACCTCGCAAATCCGTGCCCACGCATCCACGCTGCTGGGCCGTCTTTTTATCCATGAACTCCGCTTTCGAATCAGATTGCGATGGCCATTTCACATGCAGGAATCCCTGGTGGTATACGCCTTACTACCTTAAGTTCTATTGGAGAGACGAATTGGCGGAGTCAGGTTTACTTGTGGAGGAGGAGGAGGGGAGTAAGGGGAACATTAACACCTCGGAGCCCAGCCTGCAGTCCATATATGGGCTGCGGGCTGTCAACCGTCTGAGACCGTACGACCCATACTTTGGCTGGAAATATTAAATTTTTCTTTCGTTTTCCATTCCTCTCCATTTTGTTAGACTTCTTCCAAACCATGCAATGGATTTTTGTTGCCAATTTGCTCGAAAGATTATTGAAGAATCCACTAAAAAATCCTCCAAGTCGCAGGTGGCTGCAAAGTGTAAAACATGCGCGGTCTCCAACGTGTTAATTGAATAAATTATCTGAGAGACAGTGTGCATACTAGGGCTGTCATGTCAAGAAGAACTGAAGGGCGGAAGTGGTGTTCCGACAAATGGCACTGCTTACAACGCGCACGGTCCGGGGATCAAATACTGGGCTGTCGCCGTCCCGGTCATCTTCCCACCGGGATCGGATTGTTAGTGTCAGATTTGTCTGGGAGGACAAAATCACATATGCTTCGCTCCACAAGTCATTGTTTTGTCCAAATTGCATGATTCTAATACAGAAGTAGAATGCGTGGTGCATCACAAAAAGGAATAAACAGCCCTGGATGTTTTGTCCTTTTATCCTTCGAGAAGATTCATAAAAGGGTAATTTAGAAAAAAATGCGAATATGACACAAAATAAAAGTTAGCCAGGTCGTGATATGGATCTATACTTTTGATTAGGTTAGCATTGTATTGTGTTGTTTTCCGGTACCAGCATTACGGAAAAATAGTTATTTCCACGGATAAGCAGATGGATTTGTAAATTTTTGTGTAGATTTATAATTATGAGTGTAGTATACTGTTTCCGTGTACATACATATTTTTGTTTACACAGATGTTCAATCTCTGATTGTCCACGATCAATCACAGCCTTATTCCGAATAGTTGTTTTTGTTTTGTTGCCTGTTATTTTTTCTACCTAGGTTTCTATGTTCCTTACTCACAAGCGCTTGTCATGTTCAGAATTTCAACTTCCATATATATTGTCTTGCATGGTATAAAATGTGAAGATGTGGCAATGAGGTTGGGTCGTGACAGGTTTCGCTTCAAAAAACAAGCGACAAAACACCCCATGATCAAATTGGTGGAGTAAGAGAACTTGATAATGAACGTGAGCAATGCAGAGTTAACTGAAAATGAAAGAGAGCAAAAGAAAGCGCCGATGATAAAAAAGCAAACTAATGAACGAGTAAAAAACAAAAGCTGTTAGGGGATACAGAGAGTCTTGGTGGAGCATGATTAGCATCAAATATTATCCGACCGCTAAATTATCTTGACCTTCGATGCATGGTGGTTCCTTACAAACATCGTTTAGTTTTGCATTCTACCGCACGGATCACGCTAAGCCTGAGCGAAAACGGTGCAGCACATTGAGCGGTCAGGTAGTCGTTCTACGAGCCAACCTACTAGTAGGTCTTTAGCGGTGGGATCTAACGGTCCACAGGCTGTCCATTTTCATCAAAGTCAACAGTTTCATGCAAGCGGTAGCGTGCAGAGCTGAACTGGTAAAAATATAAGGCAGTGCTACGTGCGAGAGGAAAGTCATTGTGACTATGGGAAGATCATTCGTTTCATCAACACATTAAAAGCCCACGTAGCATTCCATCCCCATTTTCTTGTGTCAAACCACTGTCCTCCTCCGCTCCTTTCCAGTAGGACGACGTTGGTCGGCTGCACCTGTTATTGACAATGTTTTCATGTGTTGTATTTGTGTTATTCCATTTCAGTTGATCTGAGGAAGGGCCCGAAACGTTATATGTACAGTTATGTGGAATAAAAGCTTTCGAACTACGTTAATTCTGATTTGAAATAAGATGTTCAGGGTCAATAATATGTACTTCCATGCATAATAATTGTCAAATGGGGGGGGGGGAGTCGAGACTTTCCACGAGAGGGTGGTGTAGTGGATATTCTAAAGTCTGATCTGACCATGAGTGACGGTTGACCTGACTCCACATGTCGCGCGCATTCGAAACTGCGATGATGAAAAAGCTTTCCTTCTTTTTGATAGTAGACATTTCAGTTTCGTTTCGTGGAGCGATCTTAAGCCCATTTTGAAAAGCGTGATTCATCATAAAGGGAGACTTCAAGGAAAAAGAAAAGTTGCACTGCTGTCAGCTGTAGAGTCAGGAGGAGCATCTCCAACGCCTGCCAGAGCTTTGCCAGCTACGAACTAAGAATGTCTGCCCTTCAATGTCCGTGTGGAACAACCGCTGCATCCTAAAAATCAGCGGAGAAAGCATAGCATGGATGTGTCGTTTCTTCAGCTCTCTCCCGCATTCTGACATGCGACTATGGGCTTCCGACATGCGACTACCGTCAAGTCGGTGAAGAATGGTACAGTACCCGGTCCCGACAGGGTAAGAACTTTACTTTAAGAAAGGAGTGACAACAGGCAACTGCACCACCTCTGCTTTCCTGACGACCTGTGCTAATATTATCGAACACCGAACAGGCCACACGCGATGACTGGTTGACTCTATGCATGTGGGAGGATCGGTTTGTAGCTGAACTCAACGGAAAAGAATTCCACGGGAAATGGATTAATTCCGGATGCGCTATTCGAGCTTGAACGTAACGGACACCTGTCAAAGAAAGTGATTATGATAAAGAGCGTTCATACAGGGAAAGTATGTGCAGTAGCCTAGCAGTGAGCTGATTGCAGCGCAGTGTGGCTTCAAACCTAAAAACTGTAACGCTCTAGCCCGCCGCGCCCACCAGTGGGCTGTCATAGTAGCATCGTTTGTTTTCTAATTTGAAAGAATTCACTTCAAGCGATCGCATCCTTTACTTTGTCTGTATAATGCGTAATCAATCAAAACACAGCGCTTGTTGGCATGGTGTTGGCTTTGGGAGTTACGCTTTGGCTCACGTACATTCGACCTATTTCTTGATTGCTTGCAGGCTCATGGTCGTGGTGGCATTTTGCATAATTCGACTAATTTCTGTGCTTTCTTCTATACCGGCTTAGCAAACCCTCCCTCCTCCTCTCGTATGGTTTTCGAAGCTTGTGGGAACCTAAGATCCAAAGCAGTGTCGCGGTATCATTTTAATAGGGTGTTATACTTGTGATAGCACATCCACACTGTTATATAACCATCCACTGAGTACACTTTCAATATTCCACATGTTGTCGTCGCAAATGGAAAAGGGAGGGAAAGGTTCGAATTGGGGAGGGTGAAAACCAACCGCCAACGAAACTGCTCGAACCGTGTTGTTTTTCACTCTGTCGTGATGTTTCGCTTGCAGTTAGGCCCTCTACTAAAGGAATCACCTTTTCCACGCACAGGCAGCTCCTCCGAGCGATGTTGAGCCTCATGTGGTGTATAGAGAGACAACCATCGCGGGGGTATAGCTCAGGGGTAGAGCGCTCGCTTCGCATGCGAGAAGTCTGGGGTTCAATTCCCCATACCTCCAAATTCGTTTTGCAGTCCAACCACTGACATCTGGAAAAAGTTGACTTCACTCACTCAGAGCAATTCATAATCTTGGTTTTTTCCTTTTGATTTTCACATGGCCATAACAGGAAATGTTAACATTAAATGTAATGAGCTTGGCTTTTTTTTCGTTTTTTTTAAACAAAATGAATCATTGGGCTAAGTAATGTGAAAGCTTTCTTGGCAGGGACAGCCAAGGAAAATGGACCAATTTCCGTAGTACTTTACCGCATGATCTCCCTTCCCTGCCTCGTCTTATGCTCTTACTCTAAACATTAGGTTGTTCCATAAGTTCGTGCCACTTTTTTGCACCTCATGCCAAAACTACATTTAGCTATTTCTGAATGTGACCAAGTAGGCCATGCCACACCCGAACTATGCCCACCTTAGCTGCTTTCTACGGATTAATAGCGATGAGAAAAATGAGAAAAGTGACCGGTCTGCAGAGCAATTATGTCATTACCACTTTATAACACAAACATAACCATCCGAAAATCTTTATAGAAGGTCAACTTAGACAAGTATTTGAGAAACAATCACCAATCAATCATCAAGTCAATATGTACAAATACTACGCGCCTATAAGGAAATTGACACGACAAATGAGATCAGAGACAATTTGAAGACAGCATGTAAGCACTCGCTGCAAAGCTGACCCATTATTCAAACATTTCCCTCAACTGATAAAGAATCATGTTGTCTTCGGGTGGATTCTTCTTCGCCACGGTTTCCACGCGATCACGTAGAATTGCCAGCAAATTTGCTACGTTTTGGCTGGTTCGATGAACCGCTGAAAGTAAGAACGGCAAGTCAAAGTTGAATTGCGAAGCAAGTTCGATTTATAGGAAGGTGTCAAGTTACTTATGCCATCAGGGTTCACTAGGTCCCCGCAAACATTTACTGAATCCACAACAAGCGTTTCACATTAATATTGTCTTGAGGCAAGGATGACTAATTACAAGAGCAGCTAAAAAAACGACCACATTCTCGACTCAAGAAAACTAAAAAGACAAAAATAAGCAACACTGACAAAGGTGTTTAACAGAAGAATCTGCGAAAAGATATGTATCGATGATTGGATTGACTCCGTCTTTTCGGCGTGAAGAAGCGAGGAATCGTACACGTGTTTAGCTGATTCGTTACCTTTCCTACTCTTCCGGTCATGACTCTTCTCGCGGATTTTTCGTTCATGCGAAATTTTCTAACCGCCAATTTTCTAAGCCCCAACTTCGAAATGCCCAACGTATTCCATAGCGATTATAGGTTAGAAAATCGCTTTTGAGTGGAAGCTTATCGACTGCTCCTAGTCTCATCAAGCTGGAAATACAGTCACTTGAAGCTATAGCAAAAAGCCCACGTAGTATAATGCGATGGACCTTCATGACATGGCAAATATTAGGTTGTCTCATAAATAGTGTCGCTTTTTTTCAACCAAAAAATTTTCATCTAAATCCCCATGCTTTTACATCGAGTCATATACCATTCGAAAGAGAATTGTCTGCTCTACAAAATATCGTGTTCTTCTTCCATCTATGTTCCAATGGTTTTCAAATTTTAGGCCTGCGAAATGGGAGGTCCCAGCCGACAAAAATTGACCAAAAAACCGACAACTATCTCTAACTTTATCTTCCCTTGGAGAAATCAATCAATACTGTACCCTCTACTTATGCATGACCTCTTCTAAACATTACACTATTAGGTTTCCCAACAAGTCGCGTCATTCCATTTCCAGACCTGGTTTTTCAACCAGAACTCGACGGTCGAGCACCATTACCTGAGATCGAGGTCGAAATTTTTTTAGCCGAGACATTGAAAAACTAGTAGAATTTAAGAACAAGTCATGACTAAGTTAGGAATGTACGCCTGGTTGATTTTCTCATCTTCTCAAGGATAATTTTTTTCAAAGAAATGCGGTCACTTTCGTGGATAAAGCACCTTACTCCTAAACACCTAAAATTCGAACTAATTCCCAACAAACATAAAAACAAAACAAATGAGCGAATAGAGCAGAAGAAGTGCTCACAAAAGATACACCAGTTGATATAAAACAATAGCGTTTCAGAGGAAGAATTTCAATTTGAAAATTGCCATGGCTTATCGGTCGGCCAATTCGAAAAGAAACAGGGCAAACCTTTTTCGGCAACCTAAGGGTGGAATGTTCAGAAGAGGTCATGAGTAAGTAGAGGTACATCATTGATTGATTTCTCCCAGGGAAAATAAAGTTAGAGCTAGTTGTCGGTTTGGTCAATTTTTGTCGGCGGACCTCCCATTTCGCAGGCCTAAAATTTGAAAACCATGGAACATAGATGGAAGAAGAACATAGCATCTTGTAGAGCAGACAATTCTCTTTCGAATGGTATATGACGATGTAAAAGCATGGGGATTTAGATGAAAATTTTTTTGGTTGAAAAAAAGCGACACTATTTATGAGACAACCTAATATTAGCGTGTCCCAAAAGTTTCTGCTAGTTTTATACATTTTTTGGGTAACCACTATTTCAGAAATTGATATGTATCACTATTGTTGCTACCAAGGAGTCAATGCTGTGCTCAATCGTTTCGTCTGCAAGTTGACTACTGAACAACGAGAGATGGAAGCCGGGAGGAGGCCGATCAGCATTGTACGCTAGATCTAACAGAACTTCTCATTTGAACCTCAGAATCTCGAATTGCGCTCGTCGAAAGGAAGAAGAAGCGCAAAAGTGCATGCTGGCTCGGACGCGTAGAACCAATTGTTCCAATGCTAAATCAGATAAGCACAGCAACCAGGGAGGCAACATGCACAGTTGCTAGAGCTACAAACGTTTCCTTCATAAGAGCTCTTTCGATCGAACTCCACTGAATCACACTGTAGACATCTGGATGGGCTCGCTGACACTACACTTGGAAAACATTACAAAGATTACATTATCTTGGCACGACACGTCCACGAAATGCCAAGAAGGTGCAGCAAAAATTTCCAGGCTCGTCGTGGTAGGTTGCACTCCATCTGGTGTGGTCAGGAGATTTGAACCAACGAAGTATTATCAACTTCTGTAGTGTTGCGCGTTGCAGCAAGGGAAAAGGGGAAGTTCGGTGATCTGGAGCACCTCGAAAAGGGATCTTTTGAGGTTTTTGGCCTCAAAAGTTCAGAACTTTGAGCAGCATCTACGAGTTACCTGGAAAGAAATGTTGACGGTAACGGAAGGGCATATATTTGTCGATTGATGACTGCGCCAAATGAAAAACCACACACCAATAAGAACATTAATTCTTCTGCAGTTCTGCAGAAACTGAACAGATTTCAAGGTATTCATAATGAAGACTATGATGACGAATTATCGTCCAACGACTACTGTAAAGAAATAATAACCAGCAGCTACTAATTCAATAAAATCCGCCCATACATTCGTCATCCGATGCGACTGCGCGCGCGGGCCAGGATCAATTCGTGGATCGTGCGTCGTCCAGACCACCGAACCTTCCATCCCTCCGGGGTCGGTTAATTGGTACCAGACTTGTCTGGGAGGATAAAAACACTGACTTGACATCGGCTGGCCCCCGCATTGTATAGGCCACATCCATTCAAGTTGCCGCTACGATTCTGATTGGAAATAGAATGTTGGCGCTCCCGAGAACTGGATTGATCAGCGCCGGATGCTTTATCCTTTTATTCCTTCTTACTATACTTTGGTATTCGAAAATGAGTCCGCGACTGGCACAACCCAGCTTACGGAATGTCGATAATGAAATAGAAGTACCATGTAAATACTAACTTGATGTACTGCTTCCAACCCTGCGAACTCCGTGTGCGGTCAGGTCACACAGCAGCGCCAGCTGAGCGCAACTTCCTAATCGCAGCAGACATGTATCTCCGTCTAAGTCATCAGAAAACAGCAGATCACTACAGGACAGTCCACCGACTCTCTCCATAAATTTTCTGAAACTCTCGTTGTCGAATCAAGACTACAATCAGCGTGACAATGGCCAATCCTGAATAAAAAGAATTGCTCATTGAACACCTCGAGCTACTTACGTTATTAACAATTTGTGTTTGAATATAACTTTATGAAGAATGATTGATATTGGTAATGTAACTTCGTAGTCATGTAAACGTGGATCAGGTACGTCCCGTGCCTAAATTAGACAGTGTGAATGTATTAATTTCTCCAAAACCCCGCCATAATGCAAATGTCACAAAGCCGATGCTACGAAATACCAACATACGTCTTCATTGGACTGAGTGAGGTAATTGAGAAGTAGAACAGCACAAACATTTATCGACTTGTCCAACATTGTTTCGGTATACTCACTGCGTTCCAGGAATGCCTTCCATAATGATAAATAGGCGTCTGCGGTTGCTGGAACAGGCGATAAGTTTTGACAAGACTTATTAACTTCCTTTGCGATTACAGATTTTTTTCACTAGGCTGATTTACAAACCCAAGAATAATAGGAGTGTCAAATAGCTTGAAGGGAAGGGATAGCATGAGAAACTGCCAACGCAGTACAGAGAAATTTAATTCAGTTCATCTATTAGGTTGTCCCATAATTAGTGAATCACTTTACATTTATTGCTATTAAAAATCCAAGAAAAATGGTGAAGGCGTGAAACATGTTTTGCGAAGTAGCATCCACATTATCCTACCTGAGCAATTACTCAGCCCATTTACATGCTGCCTTCCGTGGCTGATATTTCAATTTTTCTGGAACCTATTTTTGAGCTCCCTTCTTAATCACTTCTGATTAGGATCTTTCAAACGCCCAACAACATAGAGAATCAACCAGCAGATAGGCGAGGGCACGCTCCCTCAATCCACGGTCTGCTTGTAGTTCACTCTATCGAGAGGTTGGCTTTTTTAGTTGAAGATGACCCACACTCCAACTACCCCTCAACTGGCAATCTCACTGCTGTACCCAGCGCCACTGAGCGTGGATATGGACAAACTAGTCGCCATTTGCTAGAGCATACCCGATTCCTTAAAGGAGGATTGCACGGAAAGAACGAAGGTCGAAGAAGGGAGAAATCGCCTAGTGGGGAGAGCGGTGAATCTCCTGAGGGTGCGGACTGACGCGCAATTGGCATCGAAAAATTTGACCTCGGCGACCTAGCATGGCTCAAAGTTGGCGGGTCGGCGATCTCCGCCCACCGATCATCTGATCACTCGCCGTAGTTCAATACGTGGCGAGTGATTAGATAGCTGAGAGAGCGTAGTGTTGAAGAGGGCACAGCGATGAGAGTCGCATCAATGCTCAAATCAACGGGCAAGGAAGGGGTCCCATTTCTCGGGTTCTGGGCCGTTTCTCATGGTTCTTCCTTCTTTCGTGTACCACTCACCATCCCTAGGTTAATTTGAAATGGGTTGCTTTTTCATCGTGAATTCGTCCTTTAAAATGATGGAATGTAGACATCTACGTAGAGTTGTAAAGATTTTAAAATATTTAGTTTGTATCTTGTATGCTCTGAGCCCGAAACAGCTCCACACACGATCTGACATCATCATGTTCCTTCTGATCTCCCTTAGTTCCTTACAGTGATCATCCAGCATATTCACCAGGGTTCTGGACTGGGTGAAGTGTACTAGCAAATCTCCAAGGAGCAGTAGCCTAGCATGAACGATTCGGGAGTTCTGACAGCAAAAGCCAAACCTCCTTCTAGTCCGACCCTTCAGAGATATTGGTGGAGCACGAGAGTGACCTTGCGCTGGGAACCGCCGCCCAGTAATACTAGGGTCACTGAAGAAGATCAACATCGACAGCGTAATGGCGACGCGTTCAATTTGAAAGTAAAGCAAGACAAAGTCTGCTTTTTTCCTGAGGTCGTTCGACCCCACCTTGCGGAGAATATTCATAAAAAATTGGAGACTCTCAGGCTAGCAGTTCTTTCACTTCCTCTGTGTGGCCCTATCCTCGTGCCAACAAAGACAACTCAGTCTGACCTCTAGCGCTCTTCCCAGGAAGAAATTTTACGCTAAGTGACATGACCTCAAACTCGACTTCCGATCTTTCTTCGATCAATAGCTCCTGGAATTCTAGAGATAAGACAGCGACTAAATTTCCTTGTATAGGCAATACATTGTAGATGACAGAGGTGTATGTTTGGATGAGCAAAGACTCCACATAAAAAAGAAAAAAATTTGAATTCAAAAATACCCAAAGTGATTCACTAATTATGGGACAACCTAATAGTAGTCAACAATTTCACCTAAGTCTTGCTTCACCTATCCCAACGCTGCTAAACGTAAACATTGCTCGTACTAGGAGATATTCGTTATACTGGCAGACAGTTCTTACCACTGATTTATTGTTTTGAGTTAAAACCCATTCTCACTCCCTGTCTTTCTTTTACCGTTCCCCAGTTGCTGTGTTGTAGTTGTTACTTATATGGTTGTTAATTTCAGCTGATTTTACTGTTATCTCTTTCTTCTCTTTTCCATGATATGTGCTTGCGCATGTAATAAATGAATAGAATAAAAACCTTTCTCATCCAACTGGTCGTCTTGTTTAGTACACTTAATTATCCACTTCGGTATAAAATCCAGCACAGGCAGTAACGGTGACGAACTGATGAACTGAAAGAAATAATCGTTAATCTTTCCTAATGCAGAAATGAAGTACATTATTGTAGATCTGTCACCCGTATTTCGGATTTAATTCACCTCCTACCAGGGAAAGCTTTCAGCTTCAATGAAACTTAAGATGGAGACCTAAGTGATTCGATCGGATCAAAAATACTACTCATTATGAAAACCAAAACTGTTACGTGGACCCCTCAAGCTAGTTGTGAGGAAAGAAGTTGCGGCGCTAAAGTGGGGCCAGATGGCCTATCACGAACGAATGCCATGTGTGATCGAGGCACCTATTTACCTCTATAGGCAAATTTTCAGATACATTTAGGAAAGATGAGACGGATAGATCAGCTTGCCCTACATAACAACAGTAGTATTTCAGTAGGTTGCTTTTGACCCTTGGCATGACAAACCTCAATGTCCAGAAGCCTCCGCGCTGCATTCAGGACTGCAGGGAGTAACAAGCCTGGAGTGCTGCTGCTACAGAAGGACACAACTAACCTAAACGAGTGAAGTAACTTATCAACAAAAAAAAAATCCAAAGTATCACTAGTTGAGATGGACTTCAAATAGTATTTCTTCACCTGCTAGCTATTTCCGGGTAATCGCGCATTCTTTGGCTCACTTCCTCCTCCACACATGAGTCTGATACTGAGGGTTTCACTGCCTGTGAGAAGTCCCAAGCGGCCATGGTGAAACCAATATTTCGAAGAATAGTCTGAGTCAAATCATATAAAAAATTACCGAAAAACTGGAACTTCTTTTATAACGCTCACCTCGCTAAGCTGAACCAAAAATGGGATGACATCATCAGAAGTAACATTACCCATATTCGATATCACTTCTGCTTCAAACCATTCTAACTCGTCACACATGTCATTCATAAATCTAGCCGTGTGATCTGTATCATCTTCACCGCGGTCCTTTGAAATCAGTTCTTTAGTGAATGAGAGAAATTGTTCGGAACAATATAACCGAATTCCTATTATTTACACGGTGAAAATGTAGTTCGGGGGGCACCCTATCTAATCGAAGTGAAGCTGCGGAAAGACACTCATATCTAATCAAAGTAGAGTTGCGGGAAGGCACTTATATCTTATCATATCTTTCACTAAGACCGTGACCACTGGACTAGTACGCTTACCCTTGTCATATGGTCTAGGCTAAAATGGCTGCTACCCTGCTGGCTCCTTCACTTTCATCAAACCTTCTTGCGACTGCCATGCAAGCCCTCGAAGAAAGGGCCTTCCAGGTATCCGATTTTGTATGGAATCCGGATTGGTATCCCTATCTAATCATACACTCAGAGACTGTGCTCTGGATGTGATTAGATATGACCGCCCTTCCGCAGCTCCACTTCGATTAGATATTGCCAGTTCGATTAGATATTATGAGTGCCCCCCACCCAAACTACATTTTCACACTTTACACACTACCAGCGTAGAGAAGCGTATACTGCACACAGTTTGAAAGGGTATCAACATTGAAAACAGATTGCAATTTTAAATGACAAAATTGAAGACATACCTTGCAGTTTATAAGAACAGCCGCCAAGGTCTGTTTCATCTCGAAGGTCTCGACAATGAGACTATCCGGAACACCAACATCTATTACTTCATTTCCCAATCTGATATCTACGAAATGTCGAATCATGGACAATTTCTGAACGATAGCAGCTATTATGTGTTAAGAGTGAAAGGTACTTAAATGCAAGAGTGCAGATGTTGCAGTGCAGGCAATGGTTCATCCAGACATTCTGCAATTAAAACAGCCAAATAATATCGTTGCTTGTCAGGAAGCTAGCGTGATGAGAAAATTGAGCCGTGCTTTATTCAAAATTCGGTCACAAGGTAAATCAAGCTCGAAATCAGCCGGAGGTTTGTTTGACCAGCCCGCGAATATCCCGTTCCGCATGGAAGCGCTCAGCGTTCATGCTACTACATTCCATTTGGCGCAGACGCGAGTGTGCGGCCTCTAACAAGGGAGGTCTTTCAGGGCAAGGTGCGCTTTTTCAAAACGGTTTTGTGCATATTGTAGGGACGCATGTAGGAACGCAAAACCATGTTTCATTTTCGCTGAACGGTTTAGCAGTACCAAAAAAGAAGCATAAGGTACTGTTAAGGGTTCGATCCCCCGTGGCGACTAAATTTTGCATTTGGGTTGGCGCCTACGGTTTGGTGCCAAATCGCGCTAAATATCAAAATCAGATGTCAAATTCATCGTCAGGACCATTTTGAAGCCAACAAGTGGCCGCCAACCTTGATTGCAAAATTTAGTCGCCGCGGGGATTGAACCATCAAGAGTATTATTCACCACTTTTTTGGTACTACTAAAACCGTTCAGCGAAAACGAAACATGGTTTTGTGGTCCATACATGCGTCCCTACAACATGTACTAAACCGTTTCCAAAAAGCGCACCTTGCCCTGAAAGACCCCCCTTGTAAGAGCACTTGAGCCGAACATGTGGTGTTCGTATCCCTCGGGTCAAATTACCACTCAATACCGATAGCGATGAATTCGGCTACAACAAAGACTTCTTTAGAAATTTTGCCCCTCCAGAGAGTTATGCCAAAGAATAGAATCATTCATATGAAAGCGCCCACAACTACAGAAGAAATGAACGTAGTTGGAATTTACCTTATAGAACTTTTCTAGTTGATAAAGATGATTACAGGTTATCATTTGATTCGTAGTATAACTTCTGAGCAAATATCTTAAATAGCGTAGTGCTTTCCGCAGACGATCCACAGGAGGTAGCTGAAGGAGATTAAATCAACAGTGCATCTTGGTGTGGAGCACAAATAAAATTTAGTAGTACATATACGGTGGGTATAAATTATGTTGATAGAGTTGAGCCTCTTCACTTTTTTCACATTTTATAATACAATATTGAATATATGTGATATATTACTATGTCTTTTTCCTATTAGAACTAAATATCACGCTTAACTCAAAATTACCGAAACAAGTGCACTTCAGTAAGCCAACAATTAAACTAACAACTCTAATTCTCCTCATTACGATTTCCTTACTCGAAAATGAAATTTGATGTGAAAGCCCACCGCGACACTCTAATGACCAAAAATCTCTCGTGGACATGAAGTTACTTGAACACTATACCTAAACTTTTCAAGAAAACAGAGCACTTGTCACGGAGCGAAAATTCTGCAAAGAGGAATTTTTCAAAATCATAGCTCTCGACAAACTGCTATCCAGGAATCTTTCACTTATTCGTCCGGATTCCAGTGTTAATCCACGAAAGCCAAACTGATTCATTAAATAAAACGAAGCAAAAAGCCTAGAATCACTCTGACGCGCTTTACCATTAGTGACGTATCGCAACGTGAGCCTTTCCTCCGCGTCTTATGGCCAGTAGACGGAGTATGTAACAGATCCTACTCTGGTTTTGCTGTGTAGCACCTTTCTAAAGTTGTTTGTCCCATCGTTTGGAGACATAATCACTTGGTGAACCAAGTTTGGTCCACCCCGTAGTTTGCAAGTTAGCAAGAATAGATGAAATAAAATTAGAAACCGAAAAATTCAGAAAAAAATAGGTTATAGCTCTTTTTCTCCTAGGAGTCCAGATCAACGAAGGCAGGAACTCACGTCCGGCGACTTCCTTTTCTTGCCTGGAGGTGAACAAGTAGGCCCGCTTATCTCGGTTTGCAACAAATTCAACCCTGAAGTAATTTATACTCAGATGAATACCGAAAAAATCGCGCTGAAAGTCCCTGTCAAGATCCGCTCAACACACTCGCATATCGGTTTGTACCACTCAAATAGAAAAGCTATAAACCTGAATTTATGATTTCAAAGAGGTGTTCTATCCGCCATTGCGCTGTTGCTTCCAAGTATGGCTCCATAACACATTCATCCACGACTTTCTCATTAAGTAATGATAGCACTGACTGGGTGATACTGTCCATTGATGATGGTGGCAGCATGCTCCCAATTAACATCGTGGTTCCAATAAGCGAAGTGTTCTGACATGAACATATAAAAGCAAATGCCATTGAAACACTATTTGGTCGTCGAATATTTGTCGAATGTGTAATGCCGTTTTTCTTTGAAGGAAGATCCGACGATAACTTGGGTGTCGAGGAAGTAGAAATCGACCTATTGGAACGACAGGTTGCCCCCTAGGGGTTGGGACGATGCGTATTTCGCAGTGAAGGGTGTGCCCTCAGCGGCCTAGCATGGCCACTCCCACGCCACTAGCGCCGCGGTATGCCCACACTTGCCTATATTCGCTCAGTGGAGAGAGAGAGCTTAAGCGTTGAAGAGGGCAGCTGCAATGAAAGACGCGTTCATGCGAAAATCAACGGGCAAAGAAGTGATGCCATTTTCCGGGTTCTAGGCGGTTTCTCATGGTCTTTCTTCATCCATTGAGCACTTTTAATTTGAATTGTAATGGACTGCCTTATATCATAACCTCGGCATTTGGATACAATTTTGCCTCCAATGTTCTATCCTATTTTATCTTATCGCAAGCCATTCAAAATGGATTTATCTGCTCTACAAAATGGTGAGGTTCGCTTCCATTTTCGCTGCAATGGTTTGAATTAGACGCCTGCAAACCGTGCCCGGTTGATGAAAATCAGCCAAAGCGGCAACTGACTCACACTCCCTCTCTTCTTC